TCACCGCTTTGTCATTGATAGAAATGATTCCAGAGGAACTTGATCCCCAATCTGGGACTGTGGGAGTTAAGTTTGCCAGGAACTTGAGTAGCATTGACACCCTGACACCTCAGCCAGGGGTGTAGCCAAGTAGACAAATGAACTCCCAAGCTGTACCTGAACCTTCCAGAAACAGAGTCTGTAATCTGGGACCCCACAAGCTATGCTCTGGGAAGTGTTCTTTGCTCTTGTCCTGAGGAATAACAGTGGTGTTTTAACAAATATTTGAAATAGGCTGGGTGCGGTGGCTCATGCCTGTAATCTCAGCACTTTGGGAGACTGAGATGGGTGGATCACCTGAAGTCAGGAGTTATAGACCAGACTGGCCAACATGGTGAAAACGTCTCTACGAAAAAATACAAAAATTAGCTGAGTGTGGTGGCGGACAGCTGCAATCCCAGCTACTCGTGAGGCTGAGGCAGGAGAATTGCTTGAACCCCAGAGGCAGAGGTTGCAGTGAACAGAGATCGTGCCATTGCCCTCCAGCCTGGGTGACAAGAGTGAAACAAAGAGAATAAAAAAGAATGATTTTTCTACAAAAGAATGAATTTGTTTTGGCTTTGGGTTGTTGTGGTTTTTTTGTTTTTTTTTTGTAATGCATAAGGATGCTATTGCCCAGATGTCAGTGGGAAATGCAGTATCCTGCTTTAAATCTTGGATTTTGGAATGAGACTACAGGTTCTTCCACTTGCTACCTGGTGATGTTGGGCAAACCACTTAGCCTCTTTGTGCCTCAGTTTCCTTTTCTTTACAATTAGGCAATATCACCCAATATAATAAAGGTGTTATGAGAATTTAACAAGATAATCTAAGAAAGTGCTTAGGACAGCAGCCAGCACACAGCAAGTGCTGAATTCATCAGAGCTATTGTTATTTCATAGTCACACGTTTGCCATTCCTCCAGACTCCCAGACAACCAGATTCTCATGTTTAACTGAATGATGAAATTGGTCAAAGAAACCAGCATGCACTCTGAGAGGTTTGAAATTAGTCTAATACTCCCATAAACCAGACCATGTGTGGATGTAGCTGTGTATGTGAATGTCTGTAGATGTGTATGTAGTTTCCATGTACATGTCCTTTTTACAAATTGCACAAAAAGATGAAATGTTCTCAAACAGGAACCCAGAAGAGGATAAATGCCACCATCCAGGCTGAAGAGCAGAATCCACAAGTGAGCACAGGATGCCAAGAGTGTCACTGCTCTGGGATGGGATCTTTAAACGGTGCCCAGGGCCCGCTTAGGCATTCCCTCTGTCCTGCTCAGCAACATAGGGCCAGGGACAAATGCATAATCAGTAATGCCAGGAAGCTCATCCCGAAGAGGACACAGCCTCTAAAGCCAGCTCCCCGCAACCTCCCTCCTTCTTGTTTAATTTGCAAGCTTATACTTGCTGCTCCTGTAGCCTGACCCAGAAGATCAAAATTCAAGGTCCTGTTGCGTGTGTGTCAGCACAAGTCATTTGGCATCTCTAATCTTAGCTTCCTAAACTTCCCAATGCAGAAACCATCTGCTTCCCCATGTGGCGATGACTGAGTCTTTATCAGTGTGTCTCACAAATGACCTTTTGTAAGGGATCTCTTAAATTAACTCAAATAAGTATCTAATTTGCCTGCTTTGTTGATGTCTCAAAACATCAGACATTCACCTGCCACCTGCTGGGAAGAGGTGCAGGTGGGATGGACATTAGGACTCGTTGCCCTTAGCAACCAAGTATAGAAAATAAGCATCATGGGACAGTCATTCTTTCCTCAGCTGGAGACTGTTAGATCCACCATAACCTGCTGATCATGAGACCATATGGTTGGGAGGCCACCTGACACCGCAGCAGCCCCTGCACATGGACTCTGGGGCTCTGCCTGGGGAAGCCTGCAGCTCCTGGAATCCTGCAGAAGTCTGCAGCTCCTGGAATCCTCGCAACCCCTGGAAGCAGGGTGCCATAAGGAAATAGAGTCCCAGACGGTCAAAGACAGTGCTCCAGGCCATAAAGTCAACAGGTAACGGAGGAGACCCTGGAACTACATCCAGGTCATGCCAGGGTCCAGTCTTCTTCCAGGATAGAAAGCTGCCTCCCTAAGGCCACACTGTGTCCTCAGCAACAAGGTGGAAAGTGACAGCTTCCTCTCATCACTGTCCCTCCTGCTCTAGTCAGACACCCGTCCCGGGACCGCCAGACGCCCCTGCCACCACCCCATCCTGCTCTTTCCTGGTCTGCAGCTCCCATACCCATCACTCGCTGACCAAGGTAAAATTTTATTTCTTTCGTTGCAAGATCCACATGAAAACACGTTGGGATGGGATTGAGGAGGCAATTGCAGAGATCTGCAGATCCCCTCCGTCTACACATAGGGTCAGGTGTGCTGCTCCGAGATTCACAGCACTACCCAGGTGCCCCCCACTGCTACAGGAATTCCTGCATCATTCATTGCTGTGGCTGTCTTCGGGCTCTCTTACCAGTCCAGGAGGACTGAGGCATCCCCTGGTGCTCGGCACACAGTTGCTGAATGTCAGGTGACTCCACAGCAGTGCCCCTGAAGGAAGGGGCCTGGGTATCTCACAGCAAGGCCCTGACCAGGAGCTTTGTGTGTTTCCTGATGCCCAAGTCACAGCTACCAGCCTTTCCAAGTATTTAAAAGCCATCTGCCCCCCACCCACCTATTTCCGCCTTCACACTACCAAACGCCCTTCACCACCCCTCATTTTTATCAAGATAGACTTTGGCTCTATCACAGCAACAGTGAGGAAGGCAGGAAGGGGAGGGTCCCCAGTGTCGCCTTCATGATGAATCAGGCAACAATGAAATACACTCTGTTTCCACTGGGCTCCATTTTTAAACCACTCTATAATGGGAATAACGCTCCCTCCCCACCTTGGGAGAGCGTAAGCAGACACACCTGTGGGGAACCTGCCATGCCCCCAGATCCACTTCCTGAATGGTCAGACAAATGTCACTGTGACCCACGCCAATGCCGCTGTGTGCTGTAAGCGGCTGTGCCTCATCCTGTAAGAAGAGCACAAATGCTAATCTGTTGTGTCTCCAGAGCCCTAGGGAAGCGCCACGGAGTGTCACTGTTTTTAATGGTAACCTTTTTTTTTAAGGTCTTCCTCAGAAGTTTTCCCAAGAGGATTCTAAGAAAGATTAGCGAGGACATTTTTAATACACACTTGAAAAACATCATTCAAAGCCTACAATTTACATATTGGTCACCAGTAAATGGTGTGATCATTATCACCATAAAGTATAAGATACAGGACAAGGGCTTTGCTTCCAACACTGAAACGAAGTGCTAGGTTCACTCCACTATTGAGAATCTCTCTTTTTTTTTTTTTTTTTTTTGCCAAGGACAAAGATTGGACTTTCCAGGTAGCAATGTCTAGTCTCAAAGGACAACCAAAGTGCTGTTGGGGACCCACTTCCATGACCTCAAGTCCTTGCGGCCATCACTGACCTCAGCTGCATGAGTCCGGAAGCGTCTATAATACAACCACGTGTATTTCACTGTGCCTCCAATTCCCATTAGAAGCTTTTTCCTGATACGCCCTGAAGACTGGCTATTGTTATCTTTGTGATTTGTCTGACAGGTAAAGAAATTTTAAGATAAAGTTTTGGTGTCCTCCAGGAACAAAATCATGGTGTAGGGTTCAGGAAGCACATAACTCACCGTGAAGCGAACTCTCTCTGATATATTTACTGTGATATCTCATGGTTGGCACAGGAGTTTACCTTCTAGAATCACCAGAGAGAACCAAAACCAAGAGTGAAATAGCATAAAATGTTCCTGAGATGAGGGGGCAGAAACATCTTCTCTAAAATGGCCATAGTGCTTCTGGTACTTAGACGAGGAGCATGTTTTAGTCTGCCATGTGTATGTAAATGTCACAAAGACATGGTTTGCTGGCAGAGTCGCCACACTAAAAACCAGGACAGTTGCCCTCGGTAACCATGGGGATTGGTTCCAGGACCCCCATGGACACCAAAATCTGAGAATGTTCAAGTCCCTGATATAAAATGATATCATTTCTGCATATAACTGACATACATCCTCACGTATACTTTAAATCAGCTCTAGATTAACTATAATACCTAATATAATGTAAATGCTATGTAAATAGTTGCTATACAGTATTGTTTAGGGAATAATGACACACAAAAAAGTCTGTATACACAGATGCAATCTTCTTTTTACCACAAATATTTTCTTTTCTTTTTCTTTCTTTCTTTTTTTTTTTTTTTTTTTTTTTTTTTTTTTTTTTTTTTTTTTTTGAGAAATGGTCTCATTCACCTTTTCTCAAAAAATGCAACAGTCCAGGCTGGAATGCAACGGCAGAATCATGGCTCACTGTAGACTTGAATTCCTGGGCTCAAGTGAGCCTCCCACCTTTACCTCCCTAATAGCTGGGACTACAGGTGTGTGCTACCATGGCCAGCTAAATATTTTCTATTTTTTGTAGACACAGATTCTCACTGTTGCCCAGGCTGGTCGCAAACTCCTAGGCTCAAGTGATCCTTCTGCCTCAGCCTCCCAAAGTGTTGGGATCACAGGCATGAGCCACCAACCCCAGCTACCCAAATATATTCAATCTGCAGTGGGTTGAATCCACAGATACAGAACTCACAGATATGGAAGGTTGATGGTACTCTCCAAGCAATCTACATGTTGAAAGACTTTCACCAACATAGATACCTACAAATTCAAAGACATTTTCTTTCAGAGAGTGAATCAAACAAATTATCTTTCTAAAAAATTCTTTCCAGAATACTTCTAGAAATCCAGTTACACAGGCCTCTTTTATAGCAGTATTTAAATTCTACTGATCTTCAAAAGCCTTTAGATAATTAAGTATTTGATACCAATAGCACCAACAGCTTTCCCTAGAATGAATGCACAGGTGAAGATAGCCAGGGCTTTGGATAACTTAAAAGAAAGAAAGCAAAATAAGATAAAGCCCACACAAACCATTCTTTAGGACTGATATTAATTTGGAGGTAGGCAAGTATGTGAAAGAATATAGAGAAGTGAAGGCATCCAGGAATTTCCGCAGAGGATAACTCCATCTTCATCCCTCCGACGCTCCATCTGCCACAAAGCATCTCTCTCAGGTGCCCGAGGGTTCTGATGTTTGGACCTCAAGGTAAATCGTATTTTCTTTGGGCTTTGTTTTTCTGTAACAATGAAAAATAAAAGTTGAAGTTAAAATAAATAAATATGCCATTAGTATGTTCATGATGAAACTGTAGCAAAGTTGTACACAAAAATGAGTAAGTGTCAAGACAAATGAAAATTAAGTTTAGCAAACAGCAAAGAAGAAAAGGGCTTAGCAGACTACAGCCCGTGGCCCCAACCAGGCTTGTTGTCTGTTTTTGTACTACCTGTGAGCTACAAATGGTTTTTTTATGTTTTAAATAGTTGGAAAATATGAAAACATTTCATGGCACTTAAAATTCAAATTTCAACATCCATAAATAGCATTTTACTGGAATCCGGACACAACCATTCCTTCAAGCATTGTCTATAGCTGCTTCTCCAATGCAGGGGCAGAGCTGAGTGGTGGCAAGAGAGACCACAGGACCCTAAAGCCTGAAATATTTACAATATGGCCCTTTCCAGAAAGAGTCAGCCAGCCCCTGAAGTAGAAGGTTGATCACGTTGTTGCCTAACCCAGTCACTTAACTGGAGGCAGTATCCCATTTGGAAGCTGGTGACTTTTGGGACACAGGTCATTATCTCCTTCATCTGATAACCATGGAAGCTGCCTCCTAATGTTTTGGGAGGATTCGGTGAAAATGCACATAGAACTTTCAGGGAGGCGGACACACACACAGTAAGCACCCCATGAAGCTGAGCTAGAGTTACAGTCACTTCCATTCCTGATATTCTCCCCTTGCAAGTGGGGAAGAAGGAGTAATCAACATGATCACTCTGGCCATAGGCTATGGCTCCTATATACGGAATTGGTATGATATAGTAGAGAAGACAGACAACGAAATAAACAAATATTAGGAAGTGTGAAGAGTATTGCCAAGAACCCAGGATGCACAGGGGATGCAGGGTTCTGGGCAACAGCACCTGCCTCCCCTGGCAGGGTGGCAATGGTTAGGATGAGGTAGTGAAGGGATTAAACAAAACATCTTAAAAGCTGACCAGGCTGGGCACGGTGTCTCACACCTGTAATCCCAGCACTTTGGGGGGCTGAGGCAGGCAGATCACCTGAAGTCAGGAGTTCAAGACCAGCCTGACCAACATGGAGAAACCCCATGACGTGATGGCACATGCCTGTAATCCCAGCTACTCAGGAGGCTGAGGCAGGAGAATCACTTGAGCCCAGGAGGCGGAGGTTGTGTTGAGCTGAGATCGCACCATTGCACTCCAGCCTAGGCAACAAGAGTGAAACTCCGTCTCAAAAAAAAAAAAAAACAAAAAAAAAAAAAAAAAAAAAACAAAAAAAACGACCAAGTACCTGTAAGCAAACAAGAATGAAACATCTTTAAATCAGATAACACAACATTTGGGATCAAAAAGAAGGAAATCATCAGCAACTAGAAAATGCGTTTACTGTTAAAATGAGTGTTTCACCCTTATCACTATGAAGAAATCTAGAATTTCTCCAAGTAAGGTGTACAGAGTGCCTATCTGCATGGGCACTGTTGGCAAGGATTATTAAAACAGATTCCTGAGTTGCATGGCTCACATTCTAAGTCAAAAACCAAGAAGGCCAAGGAATTCAGCATTTTGGTAAGTTCCACCTGTGCTGCTTCTGCAGGCTCAGTTTTGAGGATCACTGGGTCAACAGTACAGTTTGCAAGAAGAATGTAGAAAATCTGAGCTCTGCGGAACACCTACTACCTGCCAGGCAACGGATTAGTCACTGTTACCTACTTAATCTTATTGGATCTTCATAGAAACTCTGTAAACTAAGTGTTATTGTGACTATTTTGCAGGCATGGAAATTAAATGAACTGTAGGGTTCAATGACATTCCTGAAGTGATAAGGATGCTGAGTCAGGTGACCTAGGTTCAGATCTAGATCCTTAGGATGGCATAGACTTTCCTCTCCATTCACAAGGACACGGGCATCCTTGCCGTGGAATCCGGAGAACTGAGCCCGTAAAGGATCCGGAGAGAGACCACCTCCTCAAACGCCGTTCCTTCCTTTCCTTTTTCATTGCTCTAAGACTAGAATATGAAACTCCAGCAAATCTTGCTCTCTGTCTCTTCACAAGAATTTTGTGAAGAAAGTCACTAAAGAATCTGAGACAACTGCTCAGAGGACAGAGACTGATTTTAAAATGTTCCCCACTCAGAGTCATTAACTCCCGGGTGAGCTAGGGACTCTTGGTGCACCACAGCCAACATCACAAACAAATCATTCGCTGCCGTGCAGTTGAGAACAGGTAACTGTCAACACATGCTCTTCATTATTTCCTTACATAAAGTCAGTGACTGTCGTGGTTTTTTTTCCCCCTCATAGCAGTTCTGGGAATAATAAAAAGACACACAAATATCTGTAAAGCTCTCCTAAACCTTTAAGATAGAGGAAATGGAGAATGTGGAGTGAAATTAGCCCCTTTTGGAGGGCGTGTCAGACTCATGGGCCTCAGAGTCCTGGGCACCACGGGTTTCACCTCCCAAGGTTTTCGGCGTCCTTCATGGTCTCTGGCAAAGCGACCCCCTTGGTCTCCGGAAGAAGTAGCGTCATCCCTGCAGCAAGCAGGCCCAGCACCACTTCAAAGGAAACAGATTGCAAATACAGCCATTAGAGCACAGCCAATGCCATTTACAGAAATCATCACAGCTAGCCAGAGAGAGGAAGAGACAACACAGACGGGAGAGATATTATTTTTTTTTAAGTGAGGAACATTTATAAAAGAAAATTAAAACAATAGGATAGCTGGCGAAATGTCAAAGTAAAGGCAACATCGCCTTCATTTTGCTTCTGTAGAAGTATAAACTTTCACAGTAACTGATGTTTAGGTATTAGGGGATTTGTTGATCACGGTACATATATACACATAATTAGCTATGGAGCACAGTCTGTACTGGACATGTGGGCAGGGTAGACCCTTCCCACCACTTTCTCCCTCTTTTTTTCCCTCACCTTCTACTTCCCTTTCTCCCTCCTTCTTCCTGTTTCCCTTTCCCTATCTCTTCCTCCACCCCTCTTTTTGTATTCACCTGTGCCCAGGCACGGCAAGTTTCTGCAACCAACCAACCATTTTTGCCTTCTATGAAGTGGGTAAGCAGGGTCTTGGAAGTTTCCTGGCCTAGGTTTGGAGAGAGAAGTAGGAGTCCCCTCTCCCTTCTAACATCCAACTGTATCAGGAAGAAAGCGGATACAGAACTTTGATTCCCACTCAACTCCTTGGGAGTGTTCTCGGTTGTTAAGCTCTAGATATAAGAGAGAGGTGACAATTCAGCACCTCCAAGACTCTAGCAATTATAAATTAAATGTGTAAGAATTGGTGATCAGATTTATCAGGAGACTATGTCAAAAGGTCTCTCAGATTCTGTCCTATAGTATGAATGATTGGGGTCCAGAGCCAGAGGATAGAAATCTCTGACCCACCTTCTAGGAACGGCTTCTTATCTTTCTCATGAAGCAAGACAGAATAAGCCAGGAGACACCCCAAGAGCATGCACCATCCTAGCCTTCGGTAAACTCATTGAGAGCTATCATTCCCTTCACTCAACAGACATGACCAAGTACTCACACTCAGTCACACCCATGCTGAGCCAACTGCCAAGCTGGAGAAGAAGGAATAATATATACTTCACAAAGTCTTACCAAATAAAACGAGGGGCAAGGCTTGCCAAACTGCTGTCAGTCTGAAGACTATGAAGGGGACGAGTATCCCACCTATGTCACACACAGAGGAACACACCATCACTGCAAGGTTCCTGATAAAATACAGAGGACAAAAAGTATGATAATTATGTGATTCACTTTTCCAAATGTTAACCTAATGCTAAAACAAACACAATACCAGTACCTGCAGCTTGCTGTGGGTGTCCAGTGCTTAACACCTCAGAAGCAAACTGCAGGGGTCAAAAGGAGCCAGGAGGACCAGCCCAGAGGGTACTGAGAGGCGGTAACAGGCTAAAGTGAAAGTGGGTATGAGCCATCCATTGCCCATGCGATGGAAGAGAGCCTACCTCTTTTTAACTATCCATTCAGATATTTAGCTCTTAGGTGTGTATTTCCTGAAGACTTGCTACAAGCCTTACAAAGATAAAAAGAACACGTGTTCCCTGCTCTAAATTTCAGTTTCACCTCACTCCTTTCCTAGCTCCATGATCTGTCATCACCTGTGAGGAAAGCACAGTGTCTGGGAGTGACTGAGTCTAGCGGGATTTGGGCCCATCCAAGCCCTAAGACCCTGGGAGTAGGGCTGATCTACACCAGGGACTAACCAACCAAGCCATCACCTCAATAACCAGCAAGTGACCCTTAGAGGAGACACATGGGGAAGAAAGGAGGCCTAATCAGAATGAGGGATCCACCACTGGCATTCGTTGGTTAAGGGTCAATGAATGTGGTTCCTTATGCATGTGACCCAGAGATTTGTTGCACAGGGTAACAGGCCTTAAATAGATCTTCCCAAGAAAAACATGGATTCTAGCTTCTAGCACTAGTACCATGGGGCATCTGCAGTTTTGACGAGGATACTCTGGTGCTGAATGTGTAGTTGTTGAGAAAGATAAAACTAATCACTGAAATTCTTAGAGCTCCTTTCCTGTGGCTGCAAGCTTTGGTCTGTGCTAAGACGAGCATTTTCTTGGGAAATGAGATTTAAACTGTGACTAGTTGCTTTTTCCGCCTGATGAGTTGCTGGGGATGCTCAGAGCAGATGTTAAAATATGGGAGGAAAAGAGTCTCCACTAGGGAACCCCCTACCCCCATGCATGGAAAGATAGGGAAGGGTGGACAGAAGGTATTGAGGAATCAAGGACAAAGAAAGCTAGTGGGGAAACATGTAGAGAAACTGTCTACTTGAAATGACCCTCTTCATCTCTGGCAGTGTTCTTTGCTCTGAAACCTATACCGTCTGATATTACTATAGCCTCTCCAGTTTTCTTTTGATTAGTATTAGCATAAAGTATTCTTCTCCATCTTTTCACTTTTAAACTATCTTTCTCGCTTAGTTATTTAAAGTGAGTTTCTTAAAGGCAGCATGTTGGGTTTCACTTTTTGTCCAATCTGACAATCTCTGCCTTTTAACTGGAGTGCCTAGATCATTTATATTTCTTGTGATTACTGATACGATTGAGTTTAAATCTACCATTTTGCTATTTGTTTCCTTTTTGTTCTGTTTGTCCTTTGTAACCCTTACTTTCTTTTTCTGCCTTCACATAAATTATTTTAAATGATTTCACTTTATCTTCTGTGTTGCCTTAATAGCTATAATTATTTTTTTAATTTTTGATTTAGGTTTACAGTAAACCTAACTCTTTGATCACCGTACCTTCAAGTAATATTGTAACATTCATAGATTACATGGGAACCTTACAAGAGCACACTTGCATTTCTTCCCGCCAGCCTTTGCACAACACATTGTGATTATTGCTTTCATTGGAAAACTATAGCCCACAGGCCTATAAGGACAGCATTTTTAGCTTTGGAGTAAAAAAGTATTTTTGCATGATTAAAAGGTTTCTTTTTAAAGAAAGAAAAATATGCAACAGAGACCACATGTGATCCACAACGCCTAAAACATTGGCTATCCAGCTCTGTACAGGAAAAGTTTGCCAATCCCTGCTTTAAACGGTTCATTGTCTTTTCAAGTAAATAACCAGAAAAAAATAAATATTTCCATTTACCCCTGTAGCTGTCATTTTCAGTGCTCTTCACTTTTTTGTGTAGATGTAGTTCCCATCTGACACTCTTTTCCTTTTCTCTGAAAGATGTTCAAGGCTAATATTTCCTGTAGTGTAGGTCTGCTGGTGATTAATTCTTTCAGACTTTGTGTGTTTGAAAAAGTCTTTATTTTCCATTCGTTTTTGGAAGTATTTTTGCTGGGTCAATAATTTTAGATTGGCAATTTCTTATTTTTTGTTGTTTCAGCACTTTAAACATGTTACTCAGCCATCTTCTTGTTTGTATCATTTCCAATGAGAAATTTGCTGTTATTCTTATCTCTGTTCTTGTTTGTGATATCTTTTTTCTCTGATTTCTTTTTAAGATTTTTTTTTTTTAGACAGGTTCTTGTTCTGTTGTGCAGTGGTGTGATCTTGGCTCATCCACCTCCCCAGCTCAAGCAAGCCTCCTATCTCAGCCTCCAGAGTAACTGGGACTACATACACACACCACCATACCCAGAAAATTTTTGTATACTTTGTAGAAACAAGGTTTCACCATATTGCCCAGGCTGGCCTTTTTAAGATTTTTACAATGTGCCTTTCTTGATGTTTTTTGGGGTTAGTATTTATTGAGATTCTTTTATCTATGTATTTGAAGCTTTTATCAAATTTGAAGAAGTTTTAAACATTATTTCTCTCTCTCTATTAACCCCTTCTACTCACTTCTACAGATTCCAATTACATGCACTGAATTGCCTCACAGCTCACTGATTCTATCTTTCCTTTTTGATAATTTCTATTGCTATCTTCAAGTTCACTAATCTTTTCTTCCGTAAATGTTTAATCTGCTGTTAACTCATGTGGTGTATTTTTCATCTCAGATATTGTGTTTTTACCTCTAGAAGTTTAATTTGAGACTTAAAATTTTTTTTCCCTTATCTCCACCTAACATGCTCAATCTTTTCTCTAGGTCTTAAACATACAGAATATAGGTGTCACAACTGTTCTAATGTTCTTGTCTACTAATTCTATCAACTATGCCATTTCTAGGTCAGTTTGAATTTATTTATTTTTCTCCTCAAAATAGGTTCTCTTTTTCTACTTGTTTGTATGTTTGGTAACTTTTGATTGGATGTTAAAAATTGTAAATTTCACTTTGTTCCGTGCCCAATTTTGTATTCCTATAAACAATGTTGAGCTTTGTTTGGAAAACATGATTAAATTAGGAATAATAAATCAGGAAAAGTTCTATCCTTTAGGATATTACTTTTAAGCTTCTTCTATTAAAATTATTTGCATAATTTCTTACTCTCTATAATGACTAATTACAAAATTCATATATTTTTATTTCCTTCCCAATCCCTCCCTTCATGACCTATATCCTGACGATGTATTTAGTTATATCATCTCTTAGAAAATTTTAAAACAAATGTAGAGGTGGAAATTTTATTGAATGCCTTTCAGTATCTATGGAGATAATAATATAATTTTTCTCTTTTTACTTATAAACATGATTTATACTGTGAAATTTTCTAATACTGAGCCATCTTTGCACTCCTGGAGTAACTCATCTTAGACATAGTATAGTAATTATTTTAATGTTCTCCACTGTTTGATAATATATTGTTTAGAATTTCTGAAGCAACATTCATAAATATTTGTCTGTAGTTTCCTTTATCTTTGTTGTTCTCTGATACCAATATTATGCTAATTTTATTTTTTAAACTTGGAAAATCTCCTTTTTCTATGGTTTAGAGGAACTTAAATGTTACTGGAATTTTTATTTATTAAATGTTTTATAAAATCCCCTTTCAAAATCATTGTGGATTCCTTCTTTTATCATTATTTAGGGCCCTCCTAATCTTATTTAGTACCTTTTCCTATAAATTCAACTTTGATTAGATTATGGTTCTTGCTATATATTTCCCTAGTATGCTTTTGTGCATTCTTTCCTTCTTAGCTTTCCTGAGGAACAGTTATACTTCATATATGGAGCATATTGTTGGATTCTGCTTTGTAATAAAGTCAGGCAGTCATCTTTTTTTTTTCCCAATAAAGGATTTAAGCCTCTTTTCATTTATTTAAATGTCAGAAATGTTTGGTCTCAGCCGGGCGCGGTGGCTCAAGCCTGTAATCCCAGCACTTTGGGAGGCTGAGGCGGGTGGATCACGAGGTCAAGAGATCGAGACCATCCTGGTCAACATGGTGAAACCCCGTCTCTACTAAAAATACAAAAAATTAGCTGGGCATGGTGGCGCGTGCCTGTAATCCCAGCTACTCAGGAGGCTGAGGCAGGAGAATTGCCTGAACCCAGGAGGCGGAGGTTGGGGTGAGCCGAGATCGCACCATTGCACTCCAGCCTAGGTAACAAGAGTGAAACTCCGCCTCAAAAAAAAAAAAAAAGAAAGAAATGTTTGGTCTCAATTCTATCATGTCAATTTTATCATATCAATGCTATCATCTATTCATATTCTACCTTCTATTCACACCATATCTTTTTATTGCTTCTGGTGTCTTTCATTTTCAGTATGTGTTGGTTATGTGTATTTTTTCCGATAATTTGGAAGGGCTGTATTTTATTCAAATGATTACCTATATAACCTTATATAATATAATTAATACCCTATTCCTTTAGACAGTATTGATTAACTTTCCATTATGAACAATCACAAAATTAGTATAGTTCTACTTCCTCCTCAAACCACCCCTCCATGACCTGATTTCATTGATTATATCATTACTTTTAGTGTTGTCCTTTATATCTTAAAATATACCTAAGATATTATTTATCAGTTTTTGAAAATATATTGCTGCTGAACAAATTAAATTTGTCAGTTTTTAATAATACACTTCCCCCCCCAAAAAAGTGTATTGAAGAAATCAGTGTATTACACCATCTCCAACATTCTCTTTCCTTTTCCTTTTCAATCTTTGTTATAACATTTCTTTATTGTCATATTTGTGATATTATATTCTGTTGCATAGCCAAAAATACAGTCATTTTAATATCAAATTCAATGATCACTACCAATTATTCCGACACATTACTCCATTTGCCACTATACTTACTGAATTTTTTTTCTAACAGCTTTTTTTGGGAA